GGGAAAGAGGCCTGCAGAGAGACTTTCATTATTGCCTAGTGGCATTATGGCTCGGTCAGTTCGAGTGTTGCATCAAGCGTCAAGAAGGAGATAATTTTGTCCTGCAGAATAAAGCAGGACAAAAACCTACTGCCTCTGGTTGTAGCAGAAATCACAGAATGGTAAGGGCTGGAAGGGACGTCTGGAGATGATCTAGTCCAACCCCCCTGCCAAAGCAGGTTCACCTAGGGCGGGTTACACAGGAATGTGTCCAGGCAGGTTTTGAAAGTCTCCAGAGAAGGAGATTCCACAAGCCCTCTGGGCAGCCTGTTCCAGAGCTCCATCACCCTCACAGTAAAGAATTTTTTCCTGATGTTGCTGTGGAACTTGCTGTGTTCCAGTTTGTGCCCTTTGCCCACCGTCCTATCAATGGGCATCACTGAAAAGAGACCAGCCCCATCCTCTTGATACCCACCTTCAGCTACTTATAGACATTGGTATTTCCCTCTAAGCCTTCTCTTCTCCAGGCTGAACAGCCTCAGATCTCTGTCTTTCCTTATAAGAGAGATGTTCCAGCCCCCTCATCCTCTTCATAGCTCTCCACCAGACTCCTTCCAGTAGTTCCCTGTAGTAGTTCCCTGAACTAGGGAGCCCAGAACTGGACACAGTAGTCCAGATGTGGCCTCACCAGGGCAGAGTAGATGGGGAAAATGCCCAGTATCCTCACAGAATATACAAAAACCATCAACTGGGTTTCATTCTTATTGTGTCAGCTAATTAGTTACAGTATTGTAGAGTACAGCAAGCAATTCATAATGTATTCACTGCATTTGGGGTAGGACACCAGCACCATATCATCTCTTCTGGCTTCCAGGTTCTCCAGGGTTTGGAACATTTCCATACTGCATTATGACCGGATACAGGGTCCCTTGGTAAGAGAACAGCAGATCCTTCAAGGTAAGCCCTTCAGACTCTGCCATCAATTTACTTAACTGATTAACAAAGGCTTTTTTATCCTCAGCCATGTTTTCAACCTTTGAGGTGTGAAATAATTAGTCTAATGCAGAAATGCCTTTACACAGATATTTTTAAGCAGTGGAGTATAAATCCTTGGCATTACTTCTGCCCTCCCCCCAAATTTGATGTTTCCTTCTCTCCTCCCCTCTCACCTCTCTGGAAATAGCAGCTGGGTTGATCCTGCCCATTTATAATCTACAGGGCAGGAATTACTTCAGTAAGAAATCCTGCTGGGAGCAAGTAATACTTGAAAGCTCAGCCACCAGAGAAAACAGAATTGGAAAATTAATCATCCTGGAAGAACAAGCAGTAAAAAGTACTACATCTTATCTTAGATACCATTAATAGAGAAAAAAAAAATTACAAAGAAAATAAAAGTCCCTAATAAGAAAAATCCCAAAAGGTTTTATTTTGGCAATGAAGTCAGCCCCAAAACTATGAGTTAAGAGAAACAGTGAGTAAGAGAAAATAATGAAACCAAAACCATAAAACAGAAAGAACAATACTGAGAGGGAAGGGATGCTGCCATTTTAGGTTCTTTGTGAGCTAGTCTGCACTAATGCGCTTTTTCATGCTACAAAGACAATTAAGTACCGAGACTTTGCATGGCACAGTTTTTTTTCCACATCCTTGTGATATCACTAGGATCCCTTCTGAGCAGCGCTGGTGACATTATGGCTTGGTGGGTCCGAGTGTCGCATCAAGGGGCGAGAGGGAGCCCATCGATTTCTGATTTCAAACTGGGGTAGCCAAACTTTCCTTTCAATCTTTATCCAACTCACCGGACCTCCGCTCCCTCGCTCCCTCCCCCGTTCTTGTCCAACTCGGACACGAAATCTACGCAGCACTGCCGAAGAGCGCAAGAGCGAACATCCAACCGGGACGAAGTCCCAGGAGCTCTCCCTGCC